TCAACAATATCACTCCAGTCTAGTAAGTGTAATACTATATACTACCCCTGCTTTGATGAAATACAAGCAGAAAACTAACTACACAGTGAGCTAATCTCCAACAAATTAAGGGTTAAAGGAGATGTGCATCTGCTACTCAACTTCTCCCTTAGAGAACATTGCTACATTAAAGTTGGCACAGCTGGGATGATACTGCAGAACTTTAAAATGTGGGCCCCTCAGGCTGAATTTGTTCTTAATTATGTTTCAAAACCTAAAGAAGCCATACTTTATCCTGAGCCAGTTACTTTTTTTTTCCCTGAAGGGAAAAGAAATGCACAAATTAAAGCTTCTCTTTCAAGCTGAACAAAGTAAGAATAGATTGATAATACCAAAAAAAAAAAAGTCAAGATGTCTTTTTTTTGGGTCCGGTTGTGGGGCCTGAACTCTGGGCCTGGGCGCTGTCCCTCAGCTCTTCAGCTCAAGGCTAGCACTCTATCACTTGAGCCACAGCGCCACTTCTGTTTTTTTTTTCCTTCTTATGTGGTGCGGAGGAATCAAACCCAGGGCCTCAGGCATGCAAGGCAAACGCTCTATCACTGAGCCACCTTCCCAGCCCTCAAGATGTCTTTAAAAAGTTTTTTTTCCTAAAACAAAGAACAGTAAAAAAAAGAAATATTTCTATAATCACCTAATCTGTGCATATACTTTGAAAACATGATAATAAGTTATTACTGAGTACTTCTTGTTACCATGTAAAACAATGTATTTTCAAAGATTAGTTTCTTTAATGCTAACGCTAGCCCTGTGAAATACATAGTATTATCTCCATTATTTATGTGGAATAATGAAGACTTAGGAAATTTGTGAAACTTTTTTTTTTTTTTTTGCCAGTCCTGAACTCAGGGCCCGTCCCTGAAACTTTTTTGCTCAACTCTAGTGCTCTACCACTTGAGCTACAACACCACATTCAGCCTTTTCTGTTTATGTGGTGCTGAGGTATCAAACCCAGGGCTTCATGCATGCAAGGCAAGCACTCTACTACTGAGCCACCTTCCCAGCCCTATTTGTAAGTTTTTTTGGAATGGATATTCCCTCTTCACATTGTATACAGAGTATCCACTGTTGTTTAATTTCTCCCAAGGCCTCTTTTTTTTTTTTTTTTTGTGGGCCATGGGGCTTGAACTCTGGGCCTGGGCACTGTCCCTCAGCTCTTCAGCTCAAGGCGAGCACTCTACCACTTGAGCTACAGCGCCACTTCCGGTTTTCTAGTGGTTTATTGGAGATAAGAGTCTCACAGACTCTCCTGCCCGGGCTGGCTTTGAACCACGATCCTCAGATCTCAGCCTCCTGAGTAGCTAGGATTACAGGCATGAGCCACCAGCGCCCGGCCTCCCAAGGCCTCTTTACTTCCCCCTATCCACAGCTTCCTGCTGTAGATGTTTTCTCTGTGAGTAGCCAGTCCTCTGTATGAGTTACCAGAATTAGTGCCCAAGAATTAGTTCCTTCCATGGTCATAGGTACTTTTCTATCCTTCCCACAAAAATGATTGAAATACAGGCTATTGTAGCCTTCTCTCTCTCTCTCTCTCTCTCTCTCTTTTGGTTGGTCGTGGGGCTTGAACTCGGCCTGAACTCGGCCTGGGCGCTGTCCTTGAGCTCTTCAGCTTAAAGCTAGAGCTCTACAACTTGAGCCACAGCGCCACTTCTGGCTTTTTCTGCTTATGATGCTGAGGAATGGAACCCAGGGGCTCATGCATGCAAGGCAAGCACTCTACCACTGAGCCACCTTCCCAGCCCCAGCCCTCTCTTTTTGCATAATTATTTACTGTTTCTAATTTATCTTTCTCACTATAGATACTTACTATAGTTGCCTGCGCTCTTGTCATTTGCTTTGTTACTTCGATGCCTCAATCTCCCCCTTTTCCCTTTCATTCATTTTTTAAAAAAATTTATTTTTTTATTGTGAAAATACTGTACAGAGGGGTTACAATTACATGAGCAAGATTATGAGTACCTTTCTTATCAAGCATTGTAGCCTCCTCCTTTGTTTCCCCTTCCCATCCCTTCCCATCCTCCCCCCCAATCCTCCCTGCTACCCTCCTCTTCTCCCCGCTCCCCCCGCACCAAAGTTGTAAAGTTCATTTTTCGACATAATGACTTGTACATCTCATTGTTACAATGGGTCCACCTGTATCCCTATTTCATTCATTTTTATGCTTTGCATTTATAAATTATATTCTAGGTAGTTACCACCAACCACTATTAGCACTTTGTGTGTTTGTGAACTAATCTTTGTTTCAACTTTTCTCAGAGAATCAAGCATTTTACTGTGTTTTCCCTTATGGCTCTTAGAATTTCCATAGTTCAAGTTACTTCAAACTTGTTATTTTCTTCCTTTCCCTAGAACTAGACATTAAAACCCTGGACTTCTTGCCCACTAGGCAAGTGTTCTGACATGGGACCACACTCCTAGTCTCAAGTCTTACTTATTTTATTTTTGTGCCAGTTCTGGGGCTTGAATTTGGGGTTTGGGCCCAGTCCCTAACCTTTTTTGGTCAAGACTGCCTCTCTCCCACAGCCACAGCCCCTCTTCTGGCTTTTTTGGTGTTTAATTGGAGATAAGAGTCTCATGGATTTTCTGCCAGGGCTGGCTTTGAACTTTCATCCTCAGGTCTCAGCCTCCTGAGTATCTAGGATCGCAGGTGTGAGCCACTGGTGCCTGGCTTCATGTCTCATTTTGTAAATGCTAAATGGCATAGGTGTCATTTATTTCCCCTTACGCTTTCTATTCTATCTGTGATGTCCAGGTTAGTTTGATGTACTGTTTTTTTTTTTTGTTGTTGTTGTTTGTTTTGTTTTTGCCAGTTGTGAGGACTGAACTCAGGGCCTGGACATTTTCCCTGAGCTTCTTTTGCTCAAGGCTAACACTCTTACCACTTGAACCACAATGGTACTTCTGGCTTTTTCTGTGTATGTGGTATGGAGGACTTGAACCAGGACTTCATGCATGCTTCGCAAGCACTGGACCACTAAGTCACATTCCCAGCCTGATGGACTGTTTATGTTTATTTTAACTTCTATGTTAATATGTTGCTATAACAAAATATATGAAGTTAGGTACTTTATGAAGAACAACGTTTTAACTCAGCTTGACACTGGTGACTCACAGTTATAATCCTAGCTACTCCGGAAGCTGAGCTCTGAGGATCACTGTTTTTTTTATTTTTTATTTTTTTTAATTATTTTTTTTTTTTTGGTCCGGTTGTGGGGCCTGAACTCTGGGCCTGGACACTGTCCCTCAGCTCTTCAGCTCAAGGCTAGCACTCTACCACTTGAGCCACAGCGCCACTTCCGGCTTTTTTCTTTTTGCTTATGTGGTGCTGAGGAATAGAACCCAGGGCCTCATGCATGCAAGGCAAGCACTCTACCACTGAGCCACCTTCCCAGCCCCTGAGGATCATTGTTTAAAGCCAGCTGGGGCAGAAAGGTTCCCGTGAGGCTCTTATCTCCAGTTAGCCACCAGAGAACCAAAGTGACAGAGCACTAGACTTGAGCAAAAAACAAAAAACAAAATCTATATCATAATGTGCTGGATGGCTTCATGATGAGAATGAATGGAAGAGGGAGACATCACATGGTAATACAGGAAGCCAGAGAGATTCAGGAGCCAGGTTACTGTTTTTTGTTTTTTGTCAGTTGTGGGTCCTGAACTCTGGGCCTGGGCGCTGTCCTTCAGCTTTTCAGCTCAAGGCTAGTGCTCTACCACTTGAGCCACAGCGCCACTTCAGCTTTTTCTGCTTATGTGATGCTGAGGAATCGAACCCAGGGCTTCACGCATGCAAGGCAAGCACTCTACCACTGAGCCACCTTCCCAGCCGCAGGCTTACTGTTTTTATAACTCAGTATTGAGAGAACTAAGTAGGATCCTTCAAGAACTATATTAATTCCTTCTACTCTGTAACCTAAAGTACTTCCTACTAGACTCCACCTGTTAAAAGTTCTACCACCTCTCAACATTGCTACATTGATGACTGTACTTTCAGTACATGAACCTTTGTGGAACAGACTACATAGCAGTTGTCTTCATTGAAATATGTCTCATTAGCATAATGAGGTGAATATTTGCCTAAAATGTTTATCTCTTCATAATTTCCCTTTGAAAATATGTATTTGGCTTCTATTATAGGCATATAAACAAAACTTTAATATTGGACTTGTTGAGTATTAGAGGTATTTCTGACTTTGCATGACAGATAGCAGCAGGTCTGTTATTTATTTTTATTGGTTGTGGGGCTTGCACTCTGGGCCTATTGGTGATAAGAGTCTCTCAGACTTTCCTGCCCAGGCTTTTTTTTTTTTGTCGGTTGTGGGGCTTGAACTCTGGGCCTGGGCACTGTCCCTTAGCTAGCACTCTACAACTTGAGCCTCAACACAACTTCTGGTTTTCTGAGTGGTTTATTGGCGATAAGGGTCTTATAGACTTTTCTGCCCGGGCTGGCTTTGAGCCATGATCCTCAGATATCAGCCCCTAGAGTAGCTAGGATTACAGGCGAGAGCCACCAAGCCTGGCTAACAGGTCTCTCTTATTTAAGGATTAAAAATCCTGCAGCCAGGCACATTGGTTCCTGTCTATAGTCCTGGCTGCTCAGGCAGGAAGATCACTTGTATCCAGAAGTTTGAGGCCAGTCAGGTAAAGTCTTGTCTCAGAAAATAAATGAATAAATAAGCAGACTAAATAAAAAGGTGTGTGTGGGGACTTTAATCATCTTTTTTCACTCAAGGCTGGTACTCTGTGGCTTTAGTCATCTGTGATCCTTCTCTTATTTTTCCTTTGGCATTTCATAATCACTATTCTGTGTCATTACATAGTATACCAAGGTTTTACTAAGAATTATGGTTCAAGCTTTAGCTGTTAAGTAGGAAATATAAAATATTGGTACTTAATGAATGTTTACTATAAAGTTCTTATGCTTCTGGAAATATACTGAAAATTGATGTTTTATTCTTTATTCTTTCAAGGATGTGGTAACTGGACTTAGTCCCCTGCTCTTTAGGAAGCTCAGTAATCCTGACATATTTTCATCTACTGGAAAAGCTAAACTCCAGCGACAACTTAGTCAGGATGACTGTAAGTTACGAAGAGGAAGCCTGGCCAGTTCTCTGTCAGGTAAATATCTATGGGTTTGTTTTTTTTTCAAATTTTAAATTTTGATTTAAAGAACCATAGGGGAGGGTTCTGGAGGTGTGACTCAGTTGAGGGAAAGCAAGTTTGAGTTTGAGTCCAGGTCTTGGACTTGAAAAATTATTTGGATTAGCTATTTTTCTTTTGAGTATTCAACAAACAAAATCCAGTGCTTTGTTCTAAAATGCTAAATTCTTTCTTTACATCCTATGAGGTAAGTCCATGACAACTGGGTTGTGAAGTGTGGAAATGTGGTTGTATTTGATAGTTCTTTCTATAGAATTTTCAGTTAATTGGATTTCAACTTTAAGTCGTGCTTTATACTTGCTTAGATGTTTTTGTATCTGGGTACTAAACATACTAAAGATTTTGCAGAGAATAACCTGATACCTTTGCTAAATGATGCTTTCTTTATGCTTATGATAGGAACAGACTATCTTTCTAGATTCAGACCTCCCCACTCCTCTATTTTTGGAGGGAAATGATGCTGGGGATCAAATCCAGGGCCTGGGCACTGTCCTGAGCTTCTTTTGTTCAAGGCTAGCACTCTGCAACTTAAGCCACAGCTTTATTACTGGCTTTTTTTTTTTTTTTTTTTTTTATGTGTGTGGTTAATTGGAGATAAAAGTCTCATGGACTTTCTGCTTGGGCTGGCTTCAAACTGGGATCCTCAGAGCTGTCTCCTAAGTGGCTAAGATTTACAGGTGTTAGCCACCAGCACCTGACTTACTTTATATTTAAACAATTTTTGGTGCTCCTAGAATTTGCAATGAGGGCCTCATGCTAGGCTAGTGCTCTTCCACTTGCCTGATATCTCCAGTTCTGCTTTTTTGCCAATGATTTTGGAGATGGAGTCTAGTGAATTTTTCTGTCCAGGCTGTTCTCTAATTGCTATTCTCTGGATGTCAACTTTTCATTGGCTAAGGTTATAAGAATGAGCCACTGATGCTTGGCTTATTGTTATTTATTATTATTATTATTATTTTGCCAGTCCTAGGGCTTGAACTCAAGGTCTGAGCTTTGTCCCTGAGCCTCTCTGTGCTTAAAGCTAGAACTCTACCATTTGAGCCATAGCACCACTTCTGACTTTTTTCTGCTTATGTGGTGCTGAGGAATCAAACCCAGGACCTCATGTATGCAAGGCAAGCACTCTACCACTGAGCCACCTTCCCAGCCCCAATTAATCATTCTTAATCTTTTTATTTATTTATTTATTTTATTTTTTGGGTTTGGTCGTGGGGCCTGAACTCTGGGCCTGGGCGCTGTCCCTCAGCTCTTCAGCTCAAGGCTAGTGCTCTATCATTTAAGCCTCAGTGCCACTTCTGGCTTTTTTTTTCTGCTTATGTGGTGCTGAGCAATTGAACCCAGGGCCTCATGCATGCAAGGCAAATGCTCTACCACTGAGCTACCTTCCCAGCCCCTCATTCTTAATCTTTACTTTCTCTTACATCTTAGTTTTCTTTTCGTTTAGTTTCGTTAAATTTCTGTTCAAATAAGTCTGTTATGGAAGTACATTGTGTGACCAAGAGTCAAGGCATAATATTCAAGTTTAGTGAGTGAATGGATATGAAAAAGAATGGAAAGAGTTGAAGCCAGCAATGATAGTCTGGATTTGGGGCAGTTATTTACTTATTTTGTGCCAGCCCTGAGGTTGGAATTTAGGGCTGTCTTTGAGCTTTTTTTCTCAGGGCTAGCACTCTACCACTTGAGCCACACCTCCACTTCTAGCCTTATGGTGGTTAGTTGGAGATAGAGCCTTAGAGACTTTCTTGCCTGGTCTGGCTTCAAATCACAGTTCTCAGATCTCAGCCTCATGTGTAGCTTGGATTACTGTTTTGAGGTGCTCAGCTTATTTTTAAACTTTATTATTATTATTTTTTGACATTAGTTCTTTTTTTTTTTTTTTGCTGTGATGAGGTTTGAACTCAGTCTTATGCTTAATAGGCAGGTACTATACCACTGGAAGGCACAACTCCAGATGTTGGGAATCTTTTTTTAGAATGTCAAAATGTTTGATTTAATTCTTTAAACATTGGACAAGGAAGTGACAAAGACACATTTATTTTGGTTAGATCACTAGCAGTGTGAAAAAATGTTGTGAAGAAGAGATGGAACTTGTACCTCACCTAGAAAGTCATTGTAGTTAGTTCTAGATGCTTTGTCTTTTTTGGTGACTTTGATGTCTCTGTGTGAGATGAAGACTGTCAGTAAACCTGACTACACACACAGTCTGGTGAAAGCAGTTAGTTGCCTTCTAAACTCCTAAGGGTCATACTTGTCTAGGAGTATTTGTTCATATCAGTACTTTTGCACTGAATTGGTAAGAAACTAGGTAGGCTGGAAGGGATTGGAAAACTGCTAAACTGGATTTCAGGGTGGGAAGGCTGTCATGATGGTAAATATTACAGAAAACTGAAAATAGTTAACTCATTTTAATATCTAACTTAAATTGTCATCACAACCAAGACATTATAAAAACTTATAAAAACTATAGATTCTAAAATGGAAGAAGGAAGAACTTTACCTTGTTTGTATCAACATGGTTGTACCACTATGACATTATTGCATTTGTATTTCATCATTCATTCATGAATAGTCACATGTATGTTTTCTGACTCTTGTGTTTGAAGGTAAGCAGCTACTTCCTTTGTCCAGCAGTGTACACAGCAGTGTGGGACAGGCCTCTTGGCAGTCTTCAGGAGAAGCATCAAACCTTGTTCGAATGAGAAACCAATCCCTTGGACAGTCTGCACCTTCTCTTACTGCTGGCTTGGTAAGATAATAAAATGATGGCTTGCTCTGGGGAACAAATCCTTGATTTTCATTTGTCTTTGCCACATTTATTATTTTTTTCTTTCTTTTTGTCAGTCATGGGGTTTGAACTCTGGGCCTGAGCAGGCTGACCCTCAGCTCTTCAGCTCAAGGCTACTGCTCTACCACTTGAGCTACAATGCCACTTCTGTTTTTCTGGTGGTTTATTGGACATAAGAATCTCACGGACTTTCCTGCCTGGGCTGGCTTTGATCCACGATCCTCAGTTCCTCCTGAGTAGCTAGGATTGCAGGCCCCTGGCACCCAGCTATGATTTTTCTTTATATATTAAATCATCTTTAGATTACTTATATGACCTAATACAATGTGAATGGCTGTTAATAGTGTTCTGTTTAGGGAGAAAAAATTTATACATGTTCAACTGTTGATCTTATTTCAAAGTCTTTTAATGGTTACCTTCTGTAAATTTTACCCTATTCAAACTAGCGATTTGTGAGTAGATTGTAAATCTGAACTCAATGAATCTGAGCAGAGGAGCTGGGCCTCTGCGTTATAGGGATAAATAGGAGAGCAGCCTGCTCTGTGTTAGTGATAGCCAGATTTTTGGCTGATTGTGAGCCCATTTGGCCTTGCTGAGACAAAAAAAAATTGTACAGGTTCAGTATAGAAGCAAATTTTTCCTATAATTTTTTTTTTCTCTGATACTAGGGCTTGAACTCATGGCCTCATGCTTATTGTGTGTTCACATCTGGTGTTCTACCACTTCAGCCATGTCTCCAACATGGCTTTTTTCCTTGGTAATTGGAGATGGAGTTTTGCAATTTTTTTTTACCTGGGCTCTTTGAACTTGGATCTTAATCCTGATCTCAGTCTTTTGAGTAACTAGGATTACCTGTTGGAGCCACTGGCATTTGGTTCTCTAAAAATTTTATTTATTTTTGTGCTGTAGTTTAAGTTGGACTTGGACTTAGAGCCTGGATGCTGTCCCTTAGTTTTACCACTTTGAGCCCCAGCTCCACGTCAAGCTTTTTGTGGTTAATTGGAGATAAGAATGTCACAGATGGTCTGGGAGTGTGGCTTAGTGGTAGAGTTCTTGCCTAGCATGCTTGAAGCCCTGGGTTTGATTCCTCAGTATTGCATAAACAGAAAAAGGCAGAAGTGGCACTGTGACTCAAGTGCTAGAGTGCTAGCCTTGAACAAAAGAAACTCAGGGACAGTGCCCAGGCCCTGAGTTCAGTCCCCAGGACCGACAAAAAAAAAAAAATCAGGGGCTGGGAAGGTGTCTCAGTGGTAGAGTGCTTGCCTTGCATACATGAGGCCCTGGGTTCAGTTCCTCAGCACCACATAAGCAAAAAGAAAAAAGCCGGAAGTGGTGCTGTGGCTCAAGTGGTAGAGCACTAGCCTTGAGCTGAAGAGCTGAGGGACAATGCCCAAGCCCAGAGTTCAGGCCCCATGACCAGACCCCCCCCCCAAAAAAAAATCAAAGTTGAATCATATAACATGTAGGTTTTTTTTTTTTTTTGTCAGTCGTGGGGCTTGAACTCTGGGCTTGGGTGCTGTCCTTGCACTCTTCAGCTTAAGGCGAGCGCTCTACTGCTTGAGCCACAGCACCACTTCTGGTTTTCTAGTGGGTTTCTAGTGACTTTCTAGGAAAGTCTCACGGACTTTCCTGCCTGGGCTGGCTTTGAACTCAGATCTCAGCCTCCTGAGTAGCTATGATTACAGGCATGAGCCACTGGCACGCGGCAATATGTAGTCTTTTAGGACTAGTTTTCATTTAGAGAAAATTTTCAAGGTGTATACATGTTGGATATGTCAATATTTAATTCTTTTTTATTGCTAAATACTCTTTTATATAAATATAACACATTTTGTTGTCTACCAGTTGATAGATATAGGTTGTTTCTACCTTTTATCTATTATAAATAATGTTGTTGCAGTAATGCTTATTTATATATCTAGAAGTAGTATTGCTAAATTATAACTCCATTTAGTAATTTGAAGAAACTGATTTTACTATTATTTTTAATAATTAGTGGTATAAAGAGGTTTCAATTCTATAAGTTAAGAGTATAATACGTTGTGGTCCATGTCACCCATTCATCATTCTCCTCATCCTTTCCCCATTACATCTTATTCTCAAGTTATGTTGTTCAATTTTTATATATGTTGAATAAAATGATTGTATTTGCTCATTATTCCTTTCTCCATCTGTATGCCCCTCTCCCTTGCACTCCTCCCCCTGAAAGTGTTTTAGCTTCCTGGGATTCATTTTGTTAAATAATTTGTTAGTTGTTCAGAGGAGTTATATCATTGGATTACTTCCCTAAGTATATAACCATTTAGTCAATTTGTTTGTGTATATATGAAACCCTGTATAAATTATCATGTATATTTATATTTTTAGATCTGGCTTCTACGTATGAAATAACACAGGCACTGTCACTTTGAGCCTTATTTTACTTAGCATAATTTTTTCTAGGTCCATCCATTTGCCTGCAAATGACATAATATTATTTTTTCTGATAAGAGTAAAATTCCATTGTGTGTGTGTGTGTGTGTGTGTGTGTGTGTGTTACATTTCTAAGATCCGGCTATTTTGGCTTTCATAAATAGTGCAGCAGGGGCTGGGAAGGTGGCTCAGTGGTAGAGTGCTTACCTTGCATGCATGAGGCCCTGGGTTCAATTCCTCAGCACCACATAAGCAGTAAAAGCCGGAAGTGGCTCTGTTGCTCAAATGGTAGAGTGCTAGCATTGAGCAGAAGATGCTTAGGGACAGTGCCCAGGCCCTGAGTTCAGTCCCCAGGACTGACATACACACACATACACACACAAAGAGGGGCTGGGAAGGTGGCTCAGTGGTAGAGCGCTTGCCTTGTATGCCTTGTAGGCCCTGGGTTGGATTCCTCAGCACCACATAAGCAAAAAGAAAAAAGCCAGAAGTGGCGCTGTGGCTCAAGTGGTAGAGTGCTATCCTTGAGCTGAAGAGCTGAGGGACAGCGTCCAGGCCCAGAGTTCAGGCCCCACGACTAGACCCAAAAAAACAAAAAAAACAAATACACACACACACAAAGAAACAACCATGAACAACTAAAGGAACAAAAGAGTGCTATCACTATGTGAGTATTCTTTAACATTTAAGTGGCTATAGTGTTGGTTAGGGTTTTTTTTTATCTTTGCTGATTTTCTTTTCTTCTTCTTTTCTGCCAGTCCTGGGCTTGAACTCGGCCTACGCACTGTACTTGAGCTTCTTTTGCTCAAAGCTAGCATTCTACCACTTAAGCTACAGTGCTACTTCTGGCTTTTTCTGTTTATGTGGTACTGAGGAATTGAACCAAGGGCTTCAAGCATGCTAGACAAGAACTCTAGCACTGTCACATTCTAAGCCCTTTACTGATTTTCTGTTTACTTTGTTATTTGTCTGAAAGGATTTTGGAGTATCAGGAGGTACTGCATGTTCTTGTGTATTATGTTTGTTTTTTTTTTGTGGTCGTGCGGCTTGAACTCTGGGCCTGGGCGCTGTCCCTCAGCTCTTCAGCTCAAGGCGAGCGCTCTACCACTTGAGCTACAGCGC